GCCTCTATAAACAGTCACACAGGTATTATAAGGAAGGACATCTACAACCAAAAAAGGAAGGAATAATTTTATCACTAAAATAAAGGTCAGTGCCAAGGATGAAACAGACAAGTTCTCCTGTACTCACAGCTCAGTTTGGCAGAATCCCCATGAGTGACAGGTGTCAAGATACCAGCTCAGGGAACATCTCCAAACTCCTTTTTTTTGACATTATTTCCCTCCAACCCACTAACTTGCATATTCATTCCTCAACTCTGGACGACATAAGTAATCCCACAATAAACATGAGGATGACATTATATCATTTCTGCTTGACTTCATTAATATTAAAATCAAAACAGCATTAAAAGTGCCATGCTATGTTTTCTTAGCCTCACAGACACTAGGCATATTAAGTAAGAAGATAACTTGCTTTGCCTTTATCAGCTGAAAATGTCAAAGCAGCTTTCCTTTTTATGAAGGCTAAATACATTCCAGCCCCAACAAATCAACACATCAGAAGGTTTATTATCTTATTATCTAATTAACAAAAAATAGCACCTTCTGTGTCAAGAGTAAATTATGCAAGTGCCATTTCCCCCGTATTCATTACCAAAGCTTCTAGCTCACTGAGAATCACTAAGCCTTTGCCCTCTTGAGCCTGAGTTCTTCCGTTACTAATTTTTATAAAACTACTTAGTTTGAACGGTAGCACTAACAAGGCAGGAAAACTGTGTCCTGCTGCAAAAGCTTGGTCATGTGTCTACTGAAGTCTCCGATCAACTTGATCTCATAGTCTCAGTAGCACAGGTTACTCTTGCGATGTCTGCACCCTGTCCAAAGTAATTGCCTTTCTGTGTTCCTGAGAAGATGAAATATATCATTTCTGCACTACAATGGAATTAAAGGGACAGGAGAATATGAGAAATGTAATTCATAAAGAAATGTTACGTGACACAAATCCACACTGTCCAAAAACTTATCTAAAATTAAAAAGATAAATTAGCTGACTCTCTTAACTTATTCATTACAGGAAGCAAATGACATATATTTGAAGTAAGATAAGTAATGGTTCTACAGCACCTTCATTGCCCTCACTTACCCGATGAAATGAGCAGCCCAACAAATGGGTTTCAACTACAGGATACCTCCCTGTATGCGGGAGAAAGGAGTGGGGTTTTTTACTGATGAGTTGCAGCCACTTTACTGCATGTCCATCCATTCAGCTGGGTAGCACAGAGCAATGGCTGCTCCTGTGAACGGGTGGCCGAATGCATGGAAACCTATGTGTGAATATGGTAGCAAAACCATCCAAATCTTCTAGTGAAGCTTAAATATAGTTGCATAGATATATGTAGTGAATGCCTGATCATACTGTAATTGTAGATAAAACTGGAAGGGTTTTAATCACTCTTCTATTACCTTTCCTGAGTGACTGACATGGCAAAATGATTACCATGAGCATGAGGCAGTCACTTAAAATCTGATCAGATCAGAGGTGCCCCATTGCCTAGCCAGGTCCCCTCTAAAGAGACATTCCTACTCTGGCAGACTCAAAGCCACAGGGCAGATGCTCTCCATGCTGCCTCCCATAACTCTTGCAATGGTCCATCCTACTGTGCTCACCTGAACAAAGGCTCTTCCTGACACATCCTTCAGACCCAACAAATAATAAAGCCAGAATGCTAACGTGTTGTTATCTTAAAGAAGAAGGGATCATCCCATCTCTGCCAGGCAACAGTCCCAAAGAGCAACGTATCAAAGAAAGGACTTCAGTGGAGCTCTTCCCACCCTCTGGTGCTGTCTCCTTTGGAGGTAGCCAGGGACGCTGATGATTTTCTCAAAATTGTCAGAGTATTTTTTCCATTCGAAAATAAAGCATACAGGCATGAGTCCCATTAATTCAGGCAGCAGCATCTCTTGCCATCCCATAACATCCAGCTGTTAAGGGAGATTGCTAGGGAGATGGGGCTGTCCTATCTCTAAGTCCCCAGAAAGCGTAGCAGCTTCCTTCATAGGAATGAAGAAAATCAATAGCTCTGTAGTGCAATACACTTTCTCCCGTGTAGAAGCCCATGATTTCATGTCAGACAAGACTTCAGCATAATCGATATCATAGTAAGTAGCTTCCTCTGCAGTAAACGTGCTGGCTGCATTGCATATATTTGCCTGGACAGCATCATACCTTATCCTCTCTGCCTTCCCTTCTCCCTCAGGCTTGTTTGGTATAGAAGAATCCATTGGCACAATCATTGGAGTTGTAGCGGCTGGTATCGGAGGCGTAGTGGTTCTGATCATTGTTCTAACCCCGCAGCTGAGGAGGTGTGTCCTCTGCATGAGACAAGGTTCTCACCAAGGTAAGGAACACAAATAAAAACCTTGCTTGAAAAATTAACCAAATCACCTATTTCCAAAGGTACTTCTTTTTTAACTTAAGGAGGAATTAGCCATTTATTTACCTCTGGTCAGACATGGAGTCTGATTCAGGAAATAAGCGTTGTGGATGAAACTCTTACAGTTTAGCCAGTATAGCTGGCTCTATATTCCATCTCTTTTTCAGATAGTTCTTTGCTTATGTTGGGTGGTGCTTCATGCATGGGCCTAATGAGTTACCTATGGACAAAACAATAAGATCTTTAATTGCCACTTTCAGCAAAGAATTGTTCAATGCAATGATGCTGCTTCTTTTGACAAAGTCCTGGGTCTCCTTCAGTTCTTTTAGGTTTATGCCGAAGGATGGTTCTTCCTCCCACCAACCACATCCTTACACCTGTATTCTTGTAATGCTCATGTACAGAAACCTTGTGATGGCCTACGTGTATGTGTGAGGTGTGGTTTGTAAAAGCCCGGTAATATCTTTTATTAGATCAGCTAATCAGGTTAGGAAAACTAGGCTTTTTTTGTCACACATGAAAAGAGGCTGATGTACCTGAAGGCTTGTCTGTTTTTTCCAGCTCTGTCAGCTGGTCTAATTAGAGTAGACTGACACTGAAGGCTGGATTTGGAAACGAGCTTCGTTCCAATTTTGTGCAACCCAAGATGTGATCTGCGTTTCAGACCGGGCTCAGCTGATTTTTTACTTTCAGTGCGGAGCCGTGCGATTTGCACCTCTTCTCCCACCAGTCAAAGATCTTGCTCGGTCTGCTTAAAAAAAAATAAAAAAATAAATCATTAAAAAAAAAAAAAATCCCCTGCCTGAAGGGATGAAGGAGGAGCTGCTCCTGCCATTCCCTGGAGCGCTGCCGCCACCCCACGGCCATGCTGGCGGGGACAGGGACACGGCCAGGAGCTCTGCCCCTCTCACCTCACCGGGGAGGCCCTAACAGCCCTTGCTGAGAAGCCCACCTGCACCCCTAAGCTGGTGCTGCCCCTGCAGCATCATCCTTTTGCATCTCTCTGTGTGAAAAGAGTTCACAACTTCTTTACTTGCCCGAAAGCCTTGGAAGAGTTCACTGTGTTGTGCTAACTCTGTATCGCTCACTCGCTCTCCCCTTTCCTTCTTGCTCTGCGTAGCTTGAGGTGCAGCATTGCAGGAGTCGCTGGAAGATGCAAAGCCCACAGGTGGAACAACTTCTGATGCCTTGTAAGCCAAAATTGGAGCTCTAGATGGAATAAAAGCCTTTGCCTCAGTACATGTTGTCTTTGGCACCTTTATTTTTGTTAGTCTGTTTCCTTTTCCTGCAGCTTTGAGAGCCACGGTGGCATATTCAGCATCCTCCTGCAGCAAGGAGCAAAATAGCCTTTTGTGAAGAAATCTGTGTTATCACCTGCCAAAACCCCACTTAGTCTCTGAATCTAGACTCTGATGAGGTACCTTGGGTCTTTCCCTGCCATTACTTCTTATTTTAAAGGTGGTGCTCAAAGCTTCTCAGCTGTCCTCCAGAAGAGACAGCAGGAGCCTGACCTACCCAGGCCCCCCCAGCTGTTAGCACCTACCCAAGGAAGTCAAATGTGTTGCTTCTCAGGGTGCAGCTGTGGCTCCCGTCTGTCTGCGCCTCTCGGTATAGAGGCTCTTGTCCTTTTGATTTGCTCCAGCCTACAGGCTTGTAACAGAGAGCCAGAGAAGGCCCACCTGAACATAGCTACCTATGGCTGAAAGAATGGGATTTGCTTTTACTCTTGCCGGAAGGAAATATAGCCTCAATATAAGCCTCCAATACCCTTAAAAAAAAAATGACTGTTGAAAGATTTGCTTGACATGACTAATGTTCTCCATAGCCCCCCATTTGCTGATATGTCAGTAATTGATACCGAGGTGGTCAGTGACCAGGGGACATGCCAATATAGGTGACCATCTCCTTTATGTATAGGAGAGCAGCATATCAGCTCTGAAACATGTGTAGCAGGTGAGGAATATGTTCTTTTACAAAGTATGGAGGTGTCTACTAGTAGGTAGAAGTCAGAGACCTTTGCTGGCCTGGAAACAGCAATAACCTGGTGTAACTCTGCTCACCTTTGAACACACCTCAGCAGTATTCCCAGTGCTATGAGGCAGGAACGTAAGGGATAAGATAACTGGCTATACACACACACACACACACATCCCCCCCCACAAGAAAGGATGGAGCCCTGCCCTGGGCCAGACTCTGCTCTTCCTTCGGGTAAGAAGCAGAGCTCCTCCAAGCACAAATAAGGATTAACGAGGCATCATCTGTCCCCTCTTCTCCTTCAGGTCCAGGAAAATAAAGTGGGTCACTCTACTTCCAGACTGGCATGTCTTAGGTCTTCAAAGGCCAGTGTATCTTTTCACAAAGGTGGAATTTTTTTTTTTTTTTAACAAACAAATTCAGCAGAAGCCTCTACATATTTTCCAGATCATGCAAATGTGTGGGAGTTGAAGGTCAGTCAATGCGAAAGGACAAAAAAGCTGTTTGGTGACGGGTGATGTGTTCCCAGTGCACTGCACACCAAACCCTCTGTTTCTGCAATCAGGGCAGGATCTTAACCTTCAGCATGTATGTTACCCTCTCTCTCCTCTCCATATAACATGGCCTGATAGAAATTCTCTCACACCACTGTTAGCTCTGGCAAAACAGGTAAAATTTTATTCCAGCGCCTTCAGATTCAAAGCGTTAGAAGAAAGGGCCTGAAAAGACTATTCTGCCCCTCCATATCTGAAATGGCAGGTGGGATGAGTCTGTCCACATAAAAAGTTTGGCCAGAGGATTAAGAGTGGGTTGTACGGGGCTGCTCCCCAACACTTGGCTGCTTCTTGGTCACACAGGCACACCATTTTTTCACACCGGTCTGTCAGGTTATCTGCAAAAGACAATGTGAGTGAAGGATGAGAGATTCTATATTGGATGAAGGCAAGAAAGAGTTTTAAGGGGAACGATTCCCTGTTAAAGCAATTCTTAGGGAACAGAGGCTGCGGGAGCAGGAAGGGAGAAGGACTGACATGTCTTGTTGTGTGTGGATGTGACCCTCCCCTCTCCTGTCTCTGTCAATGGGTCTAACCTTAACTGTGACCAAGAGCATCAGAAAATAGCAGCTAAATGTAAATTGAGAATACTTATAAAATTTTGCCCATCACAGAGCGCTCCATGCTTCTAGAGCTGTGTGAACAATGGGGGTTTAGTTCAGTGTCTGAAGATAAAAAAGAAAACTATTTTAGCTTAGCCCGATCTAAAAATATTCCATTTTCCCTCAGTCATCTTCCCTTTTAACTCCTCCCTCTGCACATCAGACCAATTTCAAAAGAAAAAATGCTGCTTTGAAAGGAAGAGACTCCCGGAGGGACATTTGGAAACCTGAGCACATAGAAGTACCCACCAGGCACCCTTCACTCATGCTCTACGAGTTGCTCTTACGTCTCTCTGATCACAGCAGAGGAGCCAAGGAACTCCACAGCAGGGTCAGGTACCTGATTTTTATGAGTCAGCAGCTAATGAAGCTGATCAAAATCATACATATGGCACTATTTCTAATGCAATTACATGACTCCACGATTAGGTAAGGACCATAAGGAACATCAAAGCAATGAGCTCAGGTGGCTACATCGCAAATTACTGATTTGGGGTTAATGAACCCCATCTCACCTATAGGTTGTTTAAATGCAGCCGTTGGGCTGATATTACTTCAAAGCACAGCGCCTTGTTTGTTTGAGGATTATCTAACACCCACCAAACTCTGCACTAGGCAAAGTTTAAAGTGTGGCTTCATGCCAGTGCACATGGGTTTTGCTCCAAAACCAACTGCAAATAGTACAGGAATCTTCCCAGATTTCACTGGTCTGTGCTGTATCAACCCTGTATCTGACAACTCAGAAGAGTCCATATTTCTCAAGCTTTTCTGAAGAGAGTCACATGTTTACCAGTAAAAAGTGTTTCAAGGGTCCCACCAATGAAGACTCAGTACTAAATCCATTTTTTTCTTAGCTTAGTCTGATTTTCTCCTTAGCCTCTGCTCCTTGAGTTCTTCCTATGCTGTGCCAGCAACTGTTAGTTTAATGTGAGTACAAGAGTCTGGATTGGTAGTCATTTCTGTTAGAGCAGAATAATTTTTTTGTCCAGCCCTCAGAACTTAAAGCCTTTTCTATATTCCAGATATTTATCGAATGGAATTCTCCTACACAGGATGGCACATCTGGACTGAAAAATATGGTTTTGCCAATTTTTTGCATTCCACAAACAAAACTGCCTAACAGTAGCAAAAGGAGGAGAAGTCCTAGGTAAAATAAATTTCTGTTTAATTCACCTGAGAATATCAGTGTTTATGACATGATGCCAGTCAACAGGCATATATTTCCTCTTGCACAGAAAGGACAGTGCAATCAGTTCTGCTTCTGATGTTTCTGGACATCACTACCCTAGGCCCAGCAAAAATGCCTGGAAATTTAATTCTTCATCCCTTTTTGTTTGAATGGAATCAGACATTATACCTTCACAAGTCAGCAAAACCTCTGTGCTGTAGCCTGGGGTAAGAAATTTGCCTTCAGAACACATTTCTATTGTTCCTCCCCATGGGGGCTGTCAGGGGAGGTGAGGCCTGCTGAGGGCTTGTGGAGAACAGTTGATGGATGCTTCTCAGGTCTTGCCTGGACACCAGTTAAGGAATTAATGACATCGGTTTAACTAATGGTTGTTAGCCAGGCTAGAACAACTGCAGCCCAGTGCACTCTTATGGGACATACATTGCACATGTCTCATGGACTTGATGATACGTATCACATCCACAACTAGGATTGTTCCTTCACAGCAAAAAGAAACAGGAATTTTTTTTTTCATAACAAAATAGCTAGCAGAAAATATCAGAGAGCTATGGAAATAATGAGTAAGCGGGAATGAGAGCAGTTATACATTAAAGCAATACATTACTTAGCCAGTATTCTGTATTTAATAGTTGTTCTGGCACTTGGAAAACAGCAACTACAGATGTGTTGTGCCACATCCTGTATTTGTTGGCATATTCTCAGCTGCTGGGGAGGCTGAGGGTTGCACCAGTAGGCTATGGTCTTCTGGCGAGGTAGAAATAGTCTTTTAATGTTCAAGCAAGTAGCTTTGATGGTATGGGGACAAGTTTTACTCTCACATGTTTCTTTTCAAACTTTTGAAGTGTTCTACAATGGATTTTACCATCGGGGACTTTTTGGAGACTTAGAAATAGAAGTGACAAATTCTAAGACTCAAGTCATCTGGTGTATGTCAAAACAAACTGGTGTGAACCACTGACGGGCTGTGACTGTGCAATTCAAGACCTTCTTGACTGGGTGCCAGCTGTAGAGCTGAGCACAGCTTACACTCGCTGCATGCCTGTGGCACTCGAGAGCATTTGACTCTACAAGTTTCAGAATCTCCGCTGGATCCCTCAGGCTTTAGGCTGGAGTCCCGCATGAGGCAAAGATGCAAGTTGGAGCCCTGTTTAACCTGTCTTACAGACACGTGTGATAGCATGGCTCTTCTCTAGTACATAATGGTAAGTAAAGCAGTGAAGAGACCTGCTGGAGGGAGGCCACGGGAAGCAGTGGTCCCAGGCAGACCATTGCACAGCTTTGGGAAGGTGTCGGTAAGGGGCAGATGTGCTGAACGCGGGTGGACAGAGAGCCTCCAGAGAGACATCTGCATCCTTGCCAAACTGAGATGGCTTGCTGGCTCCACGGGCCCTACTCCCACTCTTCAGCCTGGGGTGGACTCGGGTTACGTGGGACGGGTGGTGCTGGACCTCCAGCCTTCCTCTCCGCTCCAGCTGGGGACTCTTGGCAAACCTAGTCATCCAGGCAAAGGACAGGAAGAGAGCTTGGAGGAGAACAGACATTGCCCAAAGCAGCTTTAAACCCATTTCAGCATGCACAGACCTACTTCTGAAGCCCATAAAACTATTAGGTCGCCCTATGCCCCTGTGGAGGAGGGAACGAAATGAACCCAACATGAGCATTTCCTTACCACACCGCACAGTGTTCTGCTCACATGCCCACTGGTACCGCTGTGCCTTGGGGCTGCAGCCCTCCTTCTCTGCCTTGTCATAGCAGCAGTCGTGCCTGTGGCAGCACCTGGGAGAGAACAAAAGGCAGAGACTGGGCTCAGGCATCCTGCATGTTTTGCTCAGGGGTGTTTGCACGTACTCCAGGAGTGCTCCACTCAGGCACCGCTTAGGACAGCAGTGTTTGCCCCAGTCTGTCAGTAAATTGTTGATGAACCAAGTGTCCTGACATCTTTTTGAAAGCTCACATGGCTCTGGAGCTCATCAATACCATATTTGCTCCCCTGTCCATTGTGCTTCTTCCTCTGAGCTTTTACCCTCAGAAAGGCAGGTGTGGTCAACACGGTAATCCCACTCACTGAAACGGAGCAGAAGTGTTACTATGAGGTGCGTGACCATTTTAGGTTTAGACCCATCTCAGAACGTGGTATTGGGATATTTCTTGCCTTCCTGAGCATCACCGAGCAGCTTCATCTCTTCAGTTCACCTGGAGCTGCCACATGCTCTCTGTCTTAGCCAGTTTCTGAGAGCTAGCTACAAACTCATCAGCCTCACTGGTGGAATTCATACCAGTTAACTTCAGATCCCTAAATGTAAACATGTCCATCTAAGGTATTGATCTATGCTGCCTTTATGCATGTCTGGGACACAGTACATATTATCATGCTGCAGAGATCTAACACAGGTGAAAAACATTGCATTTGAACAGGCAATTGTTTTTCATTGACCATAGAGGGGGCTGAGGGTGACTAGCTCAGCTGATGATATCTGTCCTACAGATTAGTCAGTGAGATAATTCCCACCACCAACTACTTCAGAATTTATAGAAAATTTGATCCCCACTTGAATTTTATTCTGGTAGTTTAGTGATTCAAAATACACAGAGAAAAGATTCAGCACTTGAGAGGTTCTCTGGCTTCTCCAGAGACCCATTGGGAGCTGCCAGTACTTCACCCAAGAGCTCAGGAACATCACAAACTTCACCACCCCCTGCTGCGCGAGGATTTTGCCCTTTTAGAAATTGGTTTATGGATATGAGGGCTGGTGGGCTGTGTGAGGTGAAAAAGCCCAGGGGAAAAAAAAAAAAAAAAACAAAACCAACAAAACAACAATTTTTGAAACGCAAAGAGGATCCACCACTGATGCAAATTCCAGTAACATGACTGGAACTAGATCAGGTGAATCATGTGAAAGAGACAACACAACCAGACCAGTCAGATCAAATTCAGCCTTCAAGTAACCCCTGTGATTACACACAGGCTGAATTTAGTCCAGTGTGCTTTCCCTACCAACTGAGTTCCTGATTTAGTAATTAAAGTAGCAATTTCATCCCACAGATGAATCTGCAAACTAAATGCCTTTTTTTCTCAGCTTGCAAAGATGAAACCTATGTGATGATTACAACCGGACTACTCGCTGCTTTGTGAAACCTAGAAATTTAGGTTAGCAGTAGCAGGCTAGTATCTTCCCTTATGCCAGCTCCTCAAAAGGGCTTTAGAATGGGACTAAACCCTATGGAATATATGTATCTAGAAAAAGCTTTCCCATGAGAAGTTACTGCAACCGCTGTAATTGAGAAGACCTTATTCAGCTCATGGAACTGATTCGGTTGGACACGATGGCAGTAACAGGCTGTGGGTCAGATCTTTGCTGGTTCAGTAACACCCCATTCCTGGGCTTGTCCTGAGATGTTAGAAGTGAAAGGCCAAAGGAGAGAAGAATCTGCAGCCTTGTGGGAAGTATGAAGGTCCCAGCTTTCTCCAGTGTATGAGTTTCTGTGTGATGTGCCATGTTATGACTGGGACGGACTATGGCACTGAGCCAGAACGGGGGCACGTGTCACCTGGAGGCGTTGCTGTAGCCAGGGGCATCCTGGCTAACATACCTGAAGCTGCAGCACAGCCTCATCTGTCCTCAAGGAGGTAGATGGCAGAGTGGTCCCATCATGGGTATCTCCTGTGTGGGGGATAGAGCACAAGAGGCCACAGTGGAGAGCTGCGAATCGGGCTGAGCTGGGGCAGAGTGGCAGCTGTAGAAATCATAGGGTTTATGAGGTCTGAATCAGCAGCCAAATCAGTAAAGTTGGTGTCAGTGATGGAGGAGTGTGGGGAGGAGGAACAACACAAAGGTAGACAGGCAAAGGGAGGAGTTAGGACCCTGCAGGCCAAGGGAATGAAATTGCTCTTCATGGAGAGCCAGAGGGAACAAACAGGAACAGAGGTAGGAGGAGAAGAAGTGAGAACAGATCTTGGAGGGGGTGAAAGGTGGTCTGTGAATCAGGCAGGACAAACAAATGAGCACTAGAGAGGTGTGCTAGCTAGTTGTGAGAACTCACTGCTCCTTAGCTGCCTTGGCAAAGTCAGGGGGATTGCATAAATTCTGTAGGACCGCAGGATTTGAGGCACAATTCTGCTTCCCCTTACATCAGTTCCTCCTGACGATACCAGTGATTGCAGCAGGGTGACATGTAGCTTACACCAACAAAAAGCAAGGCTTTGACTCATACGTTATAAAGATCTCTTTCAGATGCTCTGAAAGAACTGCCAGGGAATGAAGAGTGAGGAAACCTATCGTTGTCCTTTGCCATCTTTGATGGTCCTGTCCTGCCTGGAAATGCCCTTTTCTGTACCTGGGTCAGAGCGTGGTGTTAAGTTTTTAATAACCTGCTAATGCTTGGCTAGACCAATGCAAACAAGAGTCAGCCAACACTATGGCAGAGCACTGGTCAACAGGTATGGAAAACAAATACAACAGTGTCATCTAGTTAGTAAGCAGCTTATTCATCACATCTGGGCTCGGAGACAGCCCTAATGGCTACAGACAGCTCTGGCTGCCCCCCAGGGATGAGCTGGCCAGACTCCTGCCATTGAGCAAATGCCATTAAGGTAAGAATTTCTCATGTTGTGTTTGTCACAGTAAAGCACAGCCACCACTGTGTGTCCTTTTGTTTTGCTTTAACTCAGCAGCTGAGGGCAAATCTAACTTTTCCCTATGAATTTCTCAGGACTTGGATGAGCCATATATGCCATCTTCCCTTTCATGGCATTTGGTGTTTTCAGGGAGATGTTAATCACCTTCCAGTCCTGCTTCACAAAATGAGTTCTGCAGCAATCCAGGGGAACAGAAAGGGGAAGGAGAAACAAATCTATTGACTTTATGTGGAAGAGATACCATTATGTCTTGAAGTGATGGGCCTGTGAGAGTGGAACAAAAGGGAAAAGGTAATTACTGACAACTCCACATCAAAGACAGTGTGTGAAATAAACCTTATAAAAGGATTACCCACTCCACATTTTTTTTCTTTTCCCATAAAAGAGAGGTGTTTAAAAGCACTCTAGCCCTGTCTAGACAGATTGACTGAATTACTCACAAGAAAATCACTCCTTTTGTAGGGGTCTCCATAACAAACCTAGAAGTGTCAAGGGGGTGAGTCATTTCAAACAGTGTTTGTCACTCAATGCAAGTAGTTTTGCCATTCTGCTTCTTTCTTTTGTAGAATGGCAAATATGGAAAATAATGTGGTCACTTTGACGGGCATAGGGTACTCAACCACACTGATTTTTGCAGCAGTTCTCAGTAACAGATATCAAAAGATTCCTTTAGGAAACATAAAATGGAAACTGTTAGGGTTGAATCTAGTAGGGGCATTGACGATTCTTTGTAGCTAAGAACCTAGCTAAAAATGTTTGTTTTTTTTGTTTTTTTTTTTTTTTTTTGCAACCAGGCATTGCAGCTAAGGAATAATAATCAATGCACTTAAAGGATCAAGCTTCCTCTTTACAAACTGTCTGGTATTTTGAGGCATTTCCATTTGCAGAGTCTCATTTTCTACTGTTAGGATAAAATCCACCTCCCATGGAAGCTGAATGGTGGCTGAAACAGTGGCTGACAAACACATGATCATATTTTTCTCCCTCTCTGTCTCTTTTTCAGGAATGCTGACTGCTTGCACCTCCCAGAGTCACCTAAACTTGGGGGTCACCCAACGTCTATGGAAAACAACTTTTAGGCGACTCCACTTAACCCCATTAGTAAAATAAGAACTCCAAATTAGTGAAGTCATGTTTTACTTTAATGACCTGATTATGAGAGTTGGTAAAGGCCTAACAAAAATAGAGAAACACATTTACAGATGCTGCTGTAGGTGGTGATAAGCAGGTCAAGAGATATTACTGAAAATTAAAAGAAATCTCTACACCTGAAACCTGTGACACTTTGTAGGCAGTTACTCATTATTTGTAAGCCCTGTATCGACTGTTTCAGACTAAATATTTCACAGATACAAACCAGGAATGTGAAGAGAGGGCTCTAGGAGCGAAACGTCTTGCTGCATTAATGAAGACATCTCCACTAGTTTCAGGGGATACTTGCTCTTTTATGCCCACAGAGGAGTTGGCCTTTAACCTTGGCATCTTTTCTTCCTTTTTTTCCTTTTTCTGTCCTGCCAGTTCAGCAAAATTTTGGTTCTGTAGCGATGCAAAACGTCTCCAATGGCTGGATAATCTGGAAAGCTCAGTTTCCTTCGCAGTGAGCTGCAGGCTGCCTTCACTCCCACTAAAAGCAGCGCTTGCCTATCAGTAGCACCTGGCCAGTTGACTGTAGATAAACAGATAGACTTGTGTATTCTGTCTTTGCCGTTTAAAACCAGACAAGTCTGTGAATAAAAGGCTCAGAGAACACAAGAGTCCATCGTGCTCAAGATTTACATGTATGCTAATTGCAAAGTACAAGAAAGAAACCTTTGATTGCAACACCTCCTAAACTAATTGCTTTAAGCCTTGGGAATAACAAGCACAGCATCTTCCCCACTAACAAAGAGAGGTAATAACACCACGCTCTCCCCTGTTGTTGTTCTTCCTTGATTCAGTGTGAACTAACAGGCAAGGAAGGCAACAGGTTTGATTTCTCCTTGCGATGATCTGGATTTCTTCCACGGGATAAACAGCAATATTCTCATCACTGCCATTTTTAGGACCTGGGTGAAATAACTCTCCAAACACATTGGTCACTCTCCTTTTTTTCCAGGCAAGGCTTGCTCTCTATGAATAAACATGCAGCTATTTCATGAAATCATACCCTAGTTCCTCATTTGCCCTCCATCCAACAGACTACCAGGTCCCAAGAGCTTTGCTCTCATCCAGAAGGTGGTTAAACCCTCATTCACACGCATCCTCACTCACAATTCCCCAGTGCTGTTCATATATATTAAGTTCCCTCCTCCACAAGGCAGTAACGATTCCATGGAGTCACAGGAGTACAAACAGGGAAGAGTTGAGAGACCTGCACCACTTCTGGACACATACCCGATGTTCTTCTTACCAGTCTGTTTTATCTTTAGGCCAGCCTTGTCCTCCCAGTCCACAGTAGCATCCATAGCCTATATATGCCAAGGGAGACCGTCTCGTGCCACACGATATAGCTCCTGCCAATTCGGTGATTCCTCGGGTGTGCAGTGAATGGGATTTTCCCAGAGCACCTTTCCAAACTGCAAAGACAGGACATGGCTACACAGAAGGATTAAACACACCTGACACTGATTTTCTTAAACTCCTTAAAGGGGGGATTTTTTTGGTTTTGACTGGTTGGTTGGGTGCAGCCTTGGCAATCTAATTAGACGTGACATTCAGCCTGCAAAGGGGACTCTGCAGGGGCCTTACCTGAGGGTTGGGATAACCAGGAGGCAGATGCAGAATCACCCAAGCAGGATATTTCTGCAGAGAGCACTCAATTCAAGGATGATTTTCTAGCTCTGGGGCGCTAGCACGTGATTGCAGCTATATTGCACCTGGGAGCAGGCTGCCCGGTTTTGCACAGCATGGAGCCCGAGCTGGCAAGCTTTGCAGGGCCTGTGCCAGCACCATGCAGAGCCAACGGGGCTTCAGTGCACCCCAGAGCCCCCAAACCTGGGAAAGCTTAAGAGCGATGCTGTGGTCCAAAGTGGGACATGAAGCAGCAGAGGACAAGCACACAACCAGACCTAAGCTGGGCTCTATGGAAAAAAATTAGGTTTCTATGTTGCCCAGGATGTTTTATGTTATCCAAGTTTCCCTTAGTATTCAGGATACTTTAACCCATTCTCCCGATGGCAAAAAGCTGGCAGTACTATTAATTTGCACAGCAGGCTAGCCACAAGTCCCTGAGCCTGTAAGGTATACTTTGTCAAGGATAGAGTGCCTACATTAGCGAAGACGTATGTATGTTGGCTTTCTTTTGCGTGTTTGGAAGTGCTGGCAGCACTGACATCCGCTTCCGTTATTACATTCCATTTAAGTCGTAACATCAGGTTGGCTGCATTAATTTAGGGGTGAAAAAAAAAAAAAAAAAAGGAGCTCTGTGGTAGCTGAAGTGTGTGGATAGCCACCTAAACCAGTCTGGAGTTTTTTGAGTTACAAGTCTTGCAAGAAGTGTTGTGATTTCACATGTTAATTTTCATTTTTTTTTTTTTAGAAACCAGACTCTACCTTGCAGTAACTGTTACAGAACCAAGAGAACTCTGCCCCTAATACTCAAACCACTGTGATGCTCAGCTGCAAACGCTGATGCTTATCATGTTAATGATAGAAACAGATGGGAGTATTTCTTGCCTGGGTTTACTGTGAAGGACCGAGTGCACTTTGCGCTGCTCTGTAGGGCATGGCAAAGCTACTCACCAGTAGCATCAAAGCCCTCAGACCGAGTGCCTAACCTATCCGCCTGTCCACTCGTGCACAGCTGCTCCGAAAAGAAAAGCCTGCTGAAACGGGGGGACTTTGCAGCATGCTTGGATGGAGAGGGACGTGGTGCCTGGGAGCTGGGAACCCACCACCGGAGTTGCTTTGCCACCTGCCCCTGGCTATTGCAGCACGCTTGACCTCTTCAAAGTGCTGTGCAAACACGGACTAATTAATCCCCTAAACCACCCGAGGACTCAATACTATTATTAAAACAGTTGCTTTCCTTTTAAAACCTAGCCCCTAATCCCCTTGCCTGGGCCCCTGCCTGCATCTCCTGGGCTGGCTCGCCCTCCTAGGCTGATCCAAACCCCAGGGCGAGGACAAGGAGGGTCTCTCCCCAGGAAGGACAAGGCAGGGCTTTGCCCCCCTCTCTGCAGCCCAAGCCCTCAGCAGGACCGAGCGCTGCCCTCCACCATTTCCACCCCAGCAATCAGCAGCTCAGGCTGTCCCCGCAATCGGGGTTTTGCACAGCCTCCTTATACTTCCTGGGGCATTCCTCGGGGATTAAATGCACATTCCTGAAAAAGTAACCACGAGGCTCACCTAAACACTACTCGAGTGTTCAGGTTTTGTGTTAAGAACGCATTAGACGGATGTTATTCGAAACTGGAGAGACGACCTATTTCCCTTGTCTAAACAGCGGGGCTCTCGAGTTAGAAGGGGGCTCAGCCCTCAGGCACCCCAGGGGAAATCACAGACAGTGAGCTGCTCTGGGTTTTGGGTTAAAAATCATGCTTTTTCAACCTGTTGCAGTATGTAGACCCTGAAAGTGTTCCAACAAAGACAAAAACTTCTTTGTAGGTATTCAGGCCTCCTGACAAGCAGCTTGCAATTTTTTTTATCTGTCTTTCGCTGACCTCTTAAGCCAGGACTGCTGGACTTGGTCTGTTGGCCGCTGGCTGAAAACAGCCAAGACTGGTGTAAGGTAACTGCACCTCACCCAGAAGAAGAAAGGCCATTATTCTTTTGGGGATATCTCTGAGGATCAAGGAACTGTAATTATAGCACAGAGCTGCTCATGAAAGTGGAGAGAAAGCCCCAAAGGGAATCCAGCCCAAAAGGCTTGATCAGTGATCTTAGGGCTGTGTGCTCTGCAAGAGCTTGAAATAACATGGGCATCCAGGCAGCCTCTGATGTTCCTATTTCATTCTTTGAAAGCTGGCTGGGTTTTGAGCTGACAGCTGATCACTGCAGCTGAGGTATCAGCCCCAGCAAGTACGTTTCAATACTCAAGTGCACAGCTAATAACTTGACCGAGGACTGAAATTGCTTTTTCTATGCTGGGCAGCCAAGCCAATGCAGCTGGGAAAGCCTTGAAAAAGCCTGAGTCTCCACAGCAGCCTGCGTTTAGCCACATCTCCCATTAGGAGCATGCTCAAACATTAGTTATACTACTAACAGGGCACCTTAGCAGATAACATACCTGCAGGGAGGTGAATCTGACAATTTATACTTTCTATTTCCTGCTTAAATGAGCAGCCTTTGCAGTAGATTAAGGCAAGGGTTTGGGTTTTATTTTGAAACTGTACTGCAAGTATAACCTCAGACCTGATAGTTTAGTGCCGTGTTGCCTCTGTGTGTAGGGGCTTTATGTTAGCAGACATTTATGGCTTTTTTTAACAGTCTTTTTAAAAAATTATTTTAAATTCAGATGAATTGAAAACTGCTTACTCCGTGGTCACTGGTAGAAAAGGAGGGTATTTCTGTGAAGGAACACAGCCACCAACAACTCTGTAGCAGAAAACTATTCAAGAAGAAAATGCCCCGTGTTTATACAGCCCCGGCTATGTGAGCTGCGAGGGACGCGAAGCGGGCAGGCAGCTCCCTAACACAGCCCCTCGCTGTAAAGCTGAACAGAGCCGAGCGGCGCTTTTTTTCCCCTCTCTTGGCCAAACCACACCAAGGTGCCTGGCGTGAAGCAGGCAAAGCTGACGGCCAGGGGAGCGGCTGCCCCGGGGTGGGGGGGGGAGGCATGAGGAGGTAGAAGGACCGAGAGGTGGTACTCACCTGCCTGAAGCAGCAGCAGCAGCAGCAGGTGGGAACCCATGGCCAGATCCTGTGCTCCTGTACGCCGGGGTTCAGCACCTCGCCACGCTGCCGAGCGAGCCGAGGTGTGGGTGTGCTTAATGATCCTCCCCGGGCCGCTGCTCCAGGGTTTATATATACATGGCTCTGTGCCTGTCTGAAGTGAAACACCCTCTCCTGCGATGGCCCCGAACACCGGCCCGTGTCCGGTCCGTCCCCGCAGTGGGCTCCTTGCTGCGTGAGGAGAGGGCAAAGGCTGGCTCTGTTTGCCCAGCATCACCTTTGGGAGGGAGGGGCTGCTGGAAGGACCTTAGGCTGGCGGTTGGTCCCCAGGACGGCCCGAGACACCCAGGCACTAAGCCGGGCTCCTGCTTTAAGCTGTTTGCTTACAGACCCTGGCTAACCTCTGAGTAGCTGCGGAAAAGGGAAGCCTGCAACCGGGCTTTCTGTGGCTTGGGCTCGCTGCTGTGGTGTCCCCCTGGCAAGGATTTTCTCTTTTTATAGATCACTCTTTCCAGACTAATTTTTTTTTTTTTTTAATTATTTTATTTTAAGACTGATTATTTTTCACATTTAAAGAAGAAGAGACAAGACTATAAAAATCCAACAGAAAGAATACTGTTAGCTGCAAGTATCTAATTATAAACTGACCAACAGAGCTAATTCTGCGCCACTCCCAAGGGAAAAATACCTTCTCAGCCTGTTGCTGCACCTGACCGAGACCGACTGATATCTTGAAGACTCATCAGCCTGAGGGGAGGGTCCCAGCCACAGCAACAGCCCAGTGGCTGGGGCCAGTCCCCTGGGGCCAGCTTTGCTCTGGTCACACCGGGCAGCCGGATCGGCAAGGCGGCCTCCGCTCGCGCGGGGCAGCGGGCAACGTGAGCGGGAGGGATGGCCATGGTTGTTTTGCCTTTGGGGTTGAAACAGCTTCGCCCAGGGCTTTAAAGCTCCTGCCTTGCTTGGTGCAGCAGCCATCCGCCTCGTCGGGACCTGAGCATCTGCCCCTTCCCCAGCGTGGGCACGAAGGGCAGGGCTGGCCGCTCTGCTGGGAGAGGGAGAGGAGGGGATGAAGGCTGCTTGACTCTTCCCCCGCACAGCCCGGGCCCTTCTCAGCAAGTTCCCCATGGTAAAGATGTGCCTCGCCTTCTTAATGGTGTGGTTTTATATATTTGCTTGCTAAATATTGGTACTTGAATCAAAGGTCAGCAGCAAGTCATTTACAGGGCTGCCTTCAGCTGTAGACCAGCCCGGCCGCTGCAGTGATCAAGCTTTCAATAGAGAGTTTTTATCAGGCGCCTTTGATGCGGGGCAAACGAGACAGCAGGACTGGGTAAATCTCGCAACAGCTGCGAGCCTGGAATCCCCTGCCCACCGCCGCGCCGGGATGGGCCGTGTGCTGGCAGCAGGGGAGGGAGGAGGGCGAGGGGACCACACCGCTCAGCCTGCTGCTCCGGCCCCCCTTCCTCCGCAGCATCGGAGGAGCCCCAGAGGAGCTGCACGGCTTACACCTCCTCCCGCAGAAACTCCCTTCGGTGATTATACATTTGCTCAAGTAATAACGCCAAATCCTGTGTGCGTAAGCCAGCTAATATTTAACCTTAAGAATATAAGTTTGCGGAAGTAGGGTGCTGGAGGTTGGGTGTGCTGTATTCGAGGGCCCTGGGGATGTAGGTCATCAAAATTGGAAGTGCAAAGAAGAAGGCAGGCTTTGAAACACGGTGTGGGGCCTGGCTGAACAAGACGCCCTGTTACAGCAAGCTCCATCCCTGACGGATACCTGGTGGGCCCTGTTCTTAATTGAGGACCATGGGGAAGTTGTAAGGAACCTCTGCAGGTGCTTTATTGGGTTCCTGGGGTCCTTGGGCCCAGGGAACTGCCTTCGAGTGCCAAAAGTGTCTACTCTATGGCTTGGATTTATCAGTCATTTGGGTTTAAAAACCTGTTTAATCTCATTCTTTCAAAGCCTTCCTGAATTACAAACCTGATCAAAAAAGGCATTATACCTTTACAAACCACAAATTGATTCTGTTCTTCCCTTTCTCACAGTCCCCTGCCCCCCAAATAATAGATAAGCTTTTTGTCCCCCATTCAGCAATAAACACAAAAAAAAAAATCATAGTCCTTTAACAGCCAAATGTATCTACAATGTCTGAAGAAGACTTCTGCAGGATATTAGGGAGGGATACACAAATTCAGCCTTAAAATTCGGCAGAATTACTATATTGTTTCCTTACGATTGTTTCACACTGCTGACTGGTCAAGTTTGTTATTTATCTGTGCAATTACCAATTACTGTTGCCTAAATTAATCAGCATATTTATAAAATAGCATTAAGTGCTAATCATGGTCTTACTACATTATGGCAAGTGCACTGGGATCATGAGGGCATTTTTGCTACCCTTTAGGGAAACCAAATGAATTCCCTGATCCCATCCCTTCACGTGCATTTTGCACATTGCCTGCTTGAGCTCCACTTCTCACTAGCAGCAAGAGGCAGCGCACGAGGGTGTTGCATACTGTCTCAGCAAACTCAGCTATACAGACTACTGGCTCTCCAAAACTGCATGCGCAATAAACTTTGAGCCTCGGGTCACTTGCGTGGGGAAATCAGTCCATACTGTTGGAGGGCTGTTTCTTCAGATGAACTAGCTCTACTGAAAACAGAGTTGCCTTGGTTTGTACCACCAAAGCAGCTGGCCCTCAGGGATGATACTACTTCATGTTCTTGGGCTTCCTGCTGTTGAAGGACACTATTAGGGAAAAGTCTTCAGTAGAAGGGGAGAAGAATTTATAAGGACTCCACAGTTTTTAACAGTTTTAACCCTACAAGGTTCAAGATGTTAGATTTTCTTGTAGAAGCTGGGCTGTCCTTCATCCCATAGAGGCTGTTCTTCCTCAAATGAGATACCCAGCCTTCTCTGTGGATGTCACCACCAACCACAAGAAGACGTTTCTGCTCAGCACCACCAGATTCAATGATGCTTTTGCGGCTGAGGCCAAGGGTTTTTCCTCTGAGGGGCAGAGGAAGCTTTCTTGCAATACCATGGGTGTTAGAGGTTCCCTAAAAGAACTGACTCCCAAAAGACTGGTTTATAGGAAGATGACTAAAGAGACTCAAGGATACAGAATGGCCATTGGGATAGTGGGAGTTAGAAGAGAAAATCAGCTCTGAAGGGAGACAAACCCCACATTACCTGTCCAGAGGGAAAAAAAAAAAAAGTCTAAGACTGCCACATGATTTGTGATGACATAACCAGTTACGGAAACAATAGACTTAATATAGCGACAAAGTAAGTAAACAGTCTTATTTAATATCATCTCGCATGGAAGGTCTGTCCATGCTTTAGTGATGATGCAGCCTAGTCAAACTTTGATGAGGAAAGACAACATTATTATTATTATTTCCAGTTTATAACTGAGCCCCAAAAAGAAAGTTTTAAAAGTGGCTCCTGGTTTGAGAGTGTCCAGAGCGTATCTCCTTGAGCTTCACTGCCGCTGTGCAACCAGGTCTCGTCTTCACGGTGGCATTTCTGAATAGTGAAGCTGGATGGCTCCAGCCCACAGCGCCCTCTCAAAGTCAGTGCCTGCTTTCGTCTGTAGTCCGTCTCACACACACATATACCTCATGTGATGAAGAAGTAAGGCCACCTCCCTCAGGCTTTCACTGCCGCAGATTTCTCCCAGCACAGCCTCAGAAAGTCTGTGCTGTCTCCTGAGCTGACTGTGGGGGACCTTCCCCTCTGAAGTAATTTCTACATAAAATTTTCCCCTTCTGCATACTTGCTTGCACTCCTCCCATGTAGAAGTGGACTTCATGGTCTACACATATAATGCTGCTGGAGGGAAGGCGGGCAGAGCTGGAGTGAGTCCTGTGCTTGAGATAAAGGAAATGATAGAAAGTTGAAGTGGGGGCGGTGATGTGAGATGCTGGGGGAGCAGTAGCTTCCTCCTTATTAGCATTGCTGGATGTGGGGTAAACGCTGTAGGTCACATGCTAGGGAAGAGCTACACCACCGTGTCAGGCTGCCTCCAGCCCTTCTGAGGATCTGTTACCACTCAGGCTCTGTCTGGAACACGTGAAACCCAGAGCTGCATCCTTTCACACATCTCTTCCCCAGAGCACGGGGAGGCAGGACCCATGGGAGTGAGATGGGGTGTAGATGTCCCCTCTTTGTCCTGCTGCTTTCTCATTAGGTGGAGAGAGGTTGTGAGGGGGTGCAGTCGCTGCAAGGGGGGACAGGCCTGGCTGCCTCGTTCTCTCATCAGTGGAAATGCCAGAGCTTTTCTGACTTTAAGAGTTTCGTTATCCCAAGTGTTAGTGACGCTATCTTTTTATGCTGAGGCCTTCTGAAGTTTGGTCTGCCCCTTTTGCCACGGAGCAAGCAGTCATTCTGCTGCCTGCAGGACGGGCTCGCTCGGGAATGGCGAGGCTCCCGTGGCCTCCAGAAACCATCGGGCTCCCACGGACATCACGTAACCTTGTGCATCTGCCAGGGCAGTGGGGCCATGACTCCGAAAAGGTTTTCAAGACTGCAGTGTTCCTTGGCCGCAGGTAGCCGGGGCATGAGGAACGCAGCCTGCCGTGGCAATGCGGAGCGCGCTGCCGTCGCCTCCCGGGGGCACTGCCAGCCGTACAAACCGGGGAGAAGAGCATCACTTTGGAGCCACGCCGGGCACTGCCTGTGGCCGTGCGGAGTGGCGGCTGAAAACAGGCACGCCTTATCACCTTTGGACATTTGGCTCTCGTTTTAGACCCTCGGAGACATTTCCCACTTAAAACAGAGGAAATACTACCAGAATTAAAGGACATCTACAACAGGAACAGGTGGAATAAAGGCACCTTATTTAAATACCGACACCACTTCAGGCTGCTTAGTTTATGAGATCCACCAAGAGGCTGCGCTGCTTTATCTGATAGGAAGTCCAGGGAACACACACGGAGATGAACGTACACTCTGAAATTCAAGACAAGCTCCTGCAATGCCTCTGAGTTTCCTGAAAAAGAAAGGCTAAAGTAAATGTCTGTGTCCATGTAACAAGAACCCCTATCAGGGACAAAGCTGGAAGACCCATGATGCCCAACACCAAGATTCGTGATACTCATGCAGACTCTGAAGCCCATTAAAATACTTGTTTTGATGTGTCAGTGTTTTGAAGTCTAAATTAATGGGCAGTCCTCAAGAGAGCAAAATCACATTTT